GCTGGGTGCGGGGCTGCTGCTGCTGCTGCTGGCCGGGCTGCTGCTGCGCAGGTGAGCGGGGGCGGGGGTAGGACAGCTCCCGTCCGGGGGGGTCGCGGCCCAACTCCACGAACCCCCGCGGGGCCGGTCCTGCGGGGGGCAGGGCCTGCGCCGCCCCCTCCCCAGCGCCCCCCCACGTGGGAGCGCCAGGTGTGGAGACACCTGCCCGCTGTCTGTCGACGGCGTCCGTGCGCCGCGCGCGCGAAATGCTCCGCCAAGATGTCACGCACCGCGCGCGGCGTCCCCGTCTGCCACCGGATGTCACAGCGGAGGAGGACGGACGGATGGACAGGTCGCTGGGTTTATGCATCGACTCACCTCTTGCAAATCCACCGCCCGTCTTGGAGCCTGCCGGGGGTGGCTCGCGGTTTCTCGTGCCAGGACTTTGCCTTTCCCTTGGCGTCCGCGTGCTCTCCGTCCAGCTCTGTCGGCGCCGAGTGGAGCAGCCTTGTGCGAGGAGGGCGTAACGGTCGCGCAACGGGGGCCTGTCGGACTGCCTGATTTCTTGGGCGTCCTTCTTTCTCGCCTCGGTGTCGGGTCGTCTCTGATAGGAAAGGGATCTTCTGCGTGAGCGGGTGTTGCGCTTTTCGGTGAGACCTGCGCTACGGCCCCGGTGAGGGGAAAGTGGCGGAAGTCCCTCTGCTCCCACTGACCTGCAGCGATGCCTGAGCGCAGGAGGCTCTGGAGATCCTCCTCGGTGTAGGGAGAGGAGCTTGGAGTCCCTGAGTGTTCGTTAATCCACAAGTAGGTATTTCAGATGGGAGTGTTTTACGCTGCAAGTCCTGATACGGGTTTAGGAATATATCTGGTTTTCAAAGCTGATGAGCACCTGCGACTTCCCTCTGCTTCCCTTTCCCTCGCTCCATAGCCGGTCTTGGATTTTTGCCATGCTGTATTCTGAACAAGATTATAGACTAATACCTGAGGAAAGCACTGAGATCCCTGCCTTCTGGAGCAGCATATGTCTGATGAGTCCATCACGTCCAGAGTGTGCTGTGACTTCCTGGGCTCAAGTCACTTGACAGTAACCAGCTGCATGATGCAGCGGCTAGTAATGATCGGGGAGATCCTAGAGAAGGAGATGGCGCTTGTGTCAGTGGGACAGGATCTTTGCCGCAACAAGGGATGGCGAACAGTGGGTTGAAGCTACAGTCGTTCCCTTTCCCTCTCCTGGGAGAAGGGAGAGGACTAGATGCATATGGTTGAGTTTTGCAGCAGGGCCAAGTGGGCAATAAAGCTGAACTGCAGGGCACATCCCTCAGTTTCTCCTTCTGTGCAGCCATCCTAAGATGGTAGCTCCAATACTTGCTTTTCCTCCTCCTTTTTTTTCCTTCTTCCCACTGCTCCCCTACCCTGGGTAAAAATATCAGATCTTGACTTCCCTGACTTTGCCAGGCAGCAGGGAATGCAGTTTCACAGGACATTGAACCGTGAGTCCCTATGCTCTTGCATGAGGCAAAGAGAGCCGTTGAGCCAGACTTCCGGTGGGTGGGTTGATTAGCTGCGTTTTGATGAGTTAATATTTAACTACTCCCACTGCCATCTGCCCAGCTTGCCCCAGCATATTGTCCACCTTATCTCTGAGCATGGGAAAGGCCCACATTTCTTGTACCAGTTTTCCAGGGCATGGCTCTATGAACACATTACCACATAGTAAACAGGGGTTGGGAGTTCCTCCATTGGGACTGCCACATGCCTGCTGTGCTGCAGTAACATGAGGTAGCTTGTCCCTAATGAAAGCAAGATAAGATGCCTCACCCTGACCTTGGAGTGAGAGTGCACCGCAGAGGAGCTAACGCTCTGATCGCTCACGCTTTAGCTTTAGTGAATCTGCTGCTCCAATAGTCACACGTGACTTCTTGGCTAAAGGGGATGGGAGGGAACTATGGCTCCAGCCTGGCCAAGGGTGTGTTTTGGCAGCATGGAGAGGAAGTGCTGAAAGGAAAGTGGAGCAGGAAGGGGAAGCTTTCTGGGAGAAGCCAGAGCTTTTGTCGCAATATAAGAAAGAAACGTACCTTGAAGCAAGGCTGCTCTCATCAAGAGCCAAAGCAAAGCCCTGGCTGGTTAAGAGCTATGGAGTTGCAGCATCAGAAGTAAGAGGATGAGGCATTGCTGACTTGGATGCATAGAAGCAAGTAGAACGCCTGCCTGATCATGGAGAGGAGCAGATTTCCCTGGGCGCTGTCTCTAATTCGCCTGTCCCAGCAAAGCATTACACTTTCTCTTGTGACGGGTGATCTAGGGCACAGGGTGTTTCTACTACCCTGCTTTTGGTGCGGGAATGTGCCGTTGGAGGGCAGCTCCATGTCATTTGCAGTGGTCAGCGGGAGCTTAGCTGGTGCAGCATGCCCAGTGCCTTGGGAATGTGCAGTTGGGCAAAAGGGATTTCAAGTTGTGCCCCCACATATCAGTGGGCACTCTTGAAAAGAGGTAGTTTGCCAAGTTAGCCTGAAATCAGGCAGAAGGTGGAGATTTGCACTGTATAGACTAAATCAGAGTTGTATAAAGTGAACTTTTGTAAGTGGAGGGCTTACTTCATCAGAACAAGCCCGCTGCTGATGAAAGCTTATGCTATACATCTCAGATTTAGTTAGTCTATAAGGTGCAAATCTACCCTGTCTTCTGCTCTTGAAAAGGCAGGTGCAAGTCCAAGGACAACCAGGGCTAGCGAAACCCTGTCTAGGGCAGTCAGGTCACTAGTCTTGTGGCTGAACCTAGAACACCAATGCATGGCAATTATTTCAGTCTGGCACGGTCAGCTGGTGGGGTAGACACGCAGAAAGCTGAATAGGAGTTTTGATCCTCTTAGTAATTGCCATTTTCCTACTGTAACTCTTTAGCAAGCAGGTGACATGGTAGTGGCTTATTTGTCTCTTGGACTTTGGCCCTGTTCGCTGCATGTGCAGATCTGTCTCTCATCCTGTTTCCCTGTACGTGAGCTGTCTTTTAAGCTGGCAGTATCGTAACCTTTGTGCTCCTCTTACTTCTAAGTAACAATGTTCTTGCTTGATAAAAGTGTAGGTCTCTGGATAACTGAGTGGTTTTGAACTGTGATTGCTCCCTGCTCTCTTGACCAACTTTGTTACTGGGTTATTTTTTTTTTAATGAGCTGACAGTGATTCCACTTGAATGTTCATTGACTGAAGACAGTGGTGTCTAATCTAGGCTTTCTTTTCCAGGTATTACCCCTGCCTGCTGCCTGTTGTTTCAGAGGCCTGTGAGAATGCTGTGCAACACAGGTACTCTCTGAACTTGTCGGCCAGCCCTTGCAACACGTTGGAAGTCTTAGATTTAGCTCCCTTGTAGCAGCCTCACCTTGTGTTCCCAGAGACCTAGTCGCTCCAGCCTGCCTCTGTGCAGTCTCTTCAAAGCCACATGTTGTACAACATCCCCTTCACCTTCTGCCAGCATCTTGTAGTTGGAGACTCGACTGAGAGCTGTAGAACTGTAGTGCAGGAAGCTGTCGGAGGCGTAGCTGCTACCCCCTTTGAATGTAGCGTTTCTTTTGGGTGTGTGGGCCGTTTTTGCTGGCTTCAGAATGGAATTTATTTCTTGTATCTGGCTGTGGTGATGTTTCATGGGAACAAGCTGCTATTGTCCATTTGGGGGGGACACACTCAAAGTTAGAGGACATGGGTGGGTGGAAGAAGGCAGTAGGGCTGCTGCTGGAAGGGGAAGGGGTTCAAAGGCTTTGTAGGGACCTTGGGCAACTACCCACGTGAATTTTGTAGTTAGCAGTTTAATTTTCCCTCTTCAGTGACTTGAGGGTGAAGAAGTTTCTTCTGGATCGGTGGGTAAGAGATGTGTATGGGCTCACTTTAGGGCTACTGGACTGAGATCTCATCCACTGGAGAGCCACACAGGAGACAGCCCAAAGGGAAATCAGATCTCTGTGCCTCTGTCTGAGCAGATCATTCCAAGAGCTTGTGAATGTGATTCTCTGTCTTCACATTTGGTGGCTCCTGCTGATGTACGGGGGGATTAGAACAAGGAAGAACTTTATTGTCCAAGTCGCTCCCTTGGGCTATGTATTGAGATTAAAGCTCCTCCTAGATGTGAGCGCAGAAAGATGAGGGAAAATTCTCCTGATTTTTGACCTGTCCAAGGCAGAAGAACATGGCATCAGCTCATCTACCATCTCAGGACCTCTTCGCTTTTAGACACTCAGATAAACAGTTGCAGCTTTTTGGTGTGTAGATATCCACCTGTGCATAGATGTGGATAGTCATTAAGCTGACCGTGTCTGGGGGGAAAAAACAGCTCACAAAGTCCAGTCCTCCATGAATCTACCCTTGCAAAATCATCATTTGAAGAAGAAAGGTGTCCTGTTTTCATGCTGTACCAACTAGATTTTGTGTCATTTTGCCAAGTGGAAGCCATCTGTAATGGTTAAATGTTAACTTCAATAGTATTTCTGCACTAAGGAAATGCCAGGGAAGAATTATTGACTAGTGGCAGATTTATAACTAGTAGGAAACAATGGAAGGAGGACTTTTGGCATGAGGAGAGCTTGGAGGACTATAAGTGGAGATGTCCAAGCGCTAGCTTGGTGTTAGGAGCAGGAGTGAGAACTCTGGAGGTGTAGGGGAAGAGCTCATGCTCGGATGGCTCCACACATCTCCAAATCTACTATTTAGCTGCATTTAGGTGGTGGCTTCCTGTATGGCTAACCCCTATACACACAGTGCTGCTGAAACGCAGTCACCGCTAGGTAGAAATCTCTAAATCAACCCTCATGGAACACGGTGCTTCACCATGCAAGAAAGGGGCATCAGGGAAAATCCCTGTTCCTGTGCTTGTGAGTGTTCATAAGGTTCAGGTAGGTTTAATCATCTGAAACTTTATGCTGTGAATGACATGGTGCATTGCTGGTCTTGGCAGGATGAAAGGCTGAATCAGTCGCACCAGCTAAGCTGAAATGAGCAGTGTTTGGAGGTTAGCCCTGGCAGAGCCCTGAGGTCCACGTGCTCAGATGTTCTCTCCCATTCCAGGTTTAACTGGAGCGAGCTGATCCCCCCACGGCTGTGGGGCCGGAACCTGGGCCTCCAGGCGGAGACCTCGGAGTTCCTCCTGGAGGGCATGCCCTTTCGCATATTTGGGGGCTCTGTGCACTATTTCCGAGTCCCCAAGGAATACTGGCAAGACCGCCTCGTCAAGATGAAGGCATGCGGCTTGAACACCCTCACCACGTAAGTGCCAGCCTCACCTGCTGGGTCCCGTCACATAGCTAAGAGGCTGCTCCTGTTCCCAGGGAAGCAGGTGGGGATTTTACCACTGATTCCAGTGAGCCCAGACATAGGACTGAGTTCCTGCCCCTGTCCTCACCTGCCCCTTCAGTCAGCAGGAGCATTGATTTCCTTCGTTTTCCACTCGCTCGCCAGCCTTTAATTGACCTCTCTCCACACTGATCTTTCTGAACTCAAGCCAAGATGGATAACTCATATGTTGCAGGCTGGCAGAGAGGCATTTAGCTGGAAATGCATCTATCTAGCCATAGGATGTGGAAAGGGGAGGGCATGAGGTACAAAGCAGAGTGGGGCAGCTGAGTGTTTATTCAGTGCCAGCACAGACTCTTTGCCCATAACTGTAGCTGTGCCTGTGTCTTTGTGGCTGGAAGAGGGAAGCTAAGACAGGCAGTTTTTTCCCTGGCTACCCTGACTCGCCACTCTGATCCTTTGCATTTCAGGTATGTACCCTGGAACCTCCATGAGCCAGCCAGAGGGAAGTTTGACTTCAGTGGAAACCTGGATCTGGAGTACGTGGGTGAAAAAGATGTTTCTTTTCCTTTGAGATCTCTCACTGACCTGGCTTTGTGTGCAGGGGTTGGGTGAAGTGTGAGATGGGCAGCAAAGGGACTGAGGAGCAAATAACTTTGGGGTATGAATCTGCCGCTCTCTTGTCCCTGAGATTAACTCCTGTGGTTTTTTGTATGGCCTTTGTTAAAGCACTGGCCCTTATGTTCCCTGCCTTTGTTCCCTGGGAATGGAGACTGTCCAGCATAGGAGTATTGATGGTTAGCTGAGTGATGCTCCTAAGCTGGTCCCCTGTTCCCCTTTGTCAGATGCACCCTGCACAGGTACCTGCTGCTTCATTAGTAAAATAATAATTAACCCTGTCTGGACCTCTAGGGCTTTCCTAACCATGGCAGCTGATGTTGGTCTGTGGGTGATTCTGCGTCCAGGACCATATATCTGCTCTGAATGGGACCTTGGTGGCCTACCCAGGTAAGCATGCATGTTGTGGCAGATGGACTTGGACTCCTTTTTTGAACTGGTTCCTCAGAAATTCAGACCCTTGGAGAGAGACCATGAGAATGTTTTGGACTGAAAAAATGCAGCAAACAGGAAAGGTGCCCCAGCTGTATGACCTAGTCTCCTGCAGGCTTAGAAATGATGCTTGCCGAAGCTTTAGCCTGTACCACCACTGTTATCAGTCCTTCTGAAACAGACCTGACGGAAGACTTGCTGTGCACAGTCACTTTTGAAAGTGTCTAACGGGGGGAGCAGGGAAGTGGTGTTATGAGGCCCATGTTCTGTCACTGATTTATTGCCTGACCTTTGCTTCATCCCTGGGCCTTGATGTCCGCAGTTTTCACAGTCCAGTAATAATAGTTACAACTTGCTCTAAGGATTCACTTCACCCCTAGGCCTATTTTAATAGTTCTATAGGGATACATGTGACACAGGCACACCCACATACTCCAGATACAGGTTTCCACTGAAGTCAAACTTCCCTCTGGCTGGCTTTTCCCAGCACATTATTCTAGCCCCTCCTAAAACGCGCACAGCCCTGAGAGAGGAGTCCTGGAGAGTTATGTTCTGCATGTAAGTGCTGCAGGCAGTTCCTGGTTACTGGGTCCCCATGGAGCAGCTACCAGGCTACGGTCCCACTTGTTTATCCTTCCTCACGTCCCTCCCCAGAGCTTTAGCCATGAAGAGGGGTGTGGAAGGCTGGCTCAGGCAAAATGTTGGCCCAGTCTCTCTAAGTCTTGCTTTTGCTGCAACTCATGCTCACTCTCCTCAGACAAAAGGAGTTTGGAGTGTTTGGCCTATTTAATACAACTAGAACACTCTTAGCAGGAGAGGAGTTTGATTAAGGCCCCTGGGACAGTGGGCTACACGAACATGATCCTTTTTCCATAATGTTCTGCCATGATGTGCAGGAGAATGCTCCGTTCCAGCCCGAGGGCAGCAGGAGGCACTGGTGCAAGTATGACGCTGTGAGATGGCGAGGGTCTTTTACGGTCTCTCATGTCCCATCCCTGCACTGTCACTGCTGCTGCTTGTGATGCTGGCTAGGACTAACGGTAGCTGGAGTGACTGTCATTGAGTGCTCTGAAGTCATTGCAGTCAAATATATGCAGTCATGCAGCCTCTTTCACCTGGTAAAGTGAGCAGGCGCATCCCATTTCACAGATCAGGAGAATGAGACACAAAGGTTATGACTGGCCCATGGCTGCCTGTAGAATACAGGAGTCCTGACTCTCAGCCCTTGGTTGTACCCTTAGCCTATGCTTCCTCTTGTACGGACAAGGAGTGAGCAAAGCTGGGCTGTAATAGCTATGCCCTGAATCGCATCTGGATGTAGGACTTGAATCTCCCTTTCTGCACACTAGCAAATTGGATCCTTTGTATGTGCTGTATAGAAATAAAGGGGGAGAGTGCCTGAAAGGCAGACTGCCCAGGGAGCAGTGATGGGAACTGCAGAAGGCAATGTCACACATGGAGTTGTGGAGCATCCTCTAGGAATGGAGGAAATTCTAGACTAGCCTGGCTTGAAAACAAAGAGTCTTCTGAGGGTCCCAGCTTGGCTTGTGCAGTGTTACCTTGATCAAGAATTAGACTGGGACTGAATCTCCGTGGTTGGACCTGAAGTACGGGGCTGGGAAAAGGAGGGACTTTGGTCATGCAGCTTGAACTTGCCATTAATGAGGGTAAACAGTGGTTGGCATTGAAAATGGGTTTAGTTGGACTGTGGTCAGCAAAGGGAGCCTGCAGACACATCCCTTATATAGACCATGTTTCATCTCCCCTACTTGGCACGAATAGCAGTGTAGTGGTGCTCTGTGCTGTTCAACAGCTGCCATGCTTCACCTCAGAAAGGTGGCTCCTCTGCAGTTGTCAGGGAGGAAGGGATTCTAATCCATGTGCCCTTTTCCCAGCACATCTGGCTCCTCTGTAACTCAGAATCACTTCTCCTGAGCTGCTGGCCTGGGCAAAAACATTCCTGTTGCTGCTGCAGGCAGTGGAGGGAAAGCAGGCTTGGTCCAGTCCTATCCCCTGCATTATCTGTACCCATGTGTACGCTGCTTCCTCAGGCCTTTGGTCTTGGGCCTGATGCCTGACAGAGAAAGAACCCAGCAGGCGATTCAGCTTTACAATGCTTTGCTGAGCCACCCCCTCAAAAGCTGCCCTCTTGGCTTATAAATTGAGCATGTTCTTCATTTGATAGCAAAGCCAAGAAAGAGAGTAGAACAGACTTCACGGTGAATCATTCTCTTGTCTGCACCTGCAGTCTGGGCCTTTGTGGCACTACAGCTAATGTGAAGTGAGATGCTGATGTCTCCACATCTGACTGCTCCATTTCCTCCTGCTGGAGCTTGGAGATAGACATGAATAGCTGCTGTGTGCAGGCTGGGTTAGACATAGGTCTGTAACAGGTGCTCTTCACTTCTGGTTCTCTTGAGTGTAGTGCTGGTTACTTTGAGTTGCCTCCTATTCTCTCCTAGTTGGCTTCTGCAAGACCCCAACATGCAACTGAGGACAACCTACAAGGGCTTCACAGAGGCTGTGGATGCCTATTTTGACCACCTAATGGCCAGGGTGGTCCCTCACCAGGCAAGTAGGATACCTCCACCCTTTGCAGACAAGATCAGGCTGCGGCTGCATCGGAGCTGACCAGGGCAGCCGCGCAGCACCAGCAGACCTGGTCTCACTTGTGTGAGAAACTGCAAAGCCTAGTAACCAGCTTCTCCCTTCTCTCCCTACAGTATAAGAAGGGGGGCCCCATCATTGCGCTGCAGGTGGAGAATGAATATGGCTCCTACGCCAAAGACCATCACTACCTAACCTACATTAAAATGGTAACTTTGGTGCTTTTGCTTTTCCCTGTGCTGGTACCCCCCCAATCTGCTCTCTGCCTTCCTGCTTCTCTGCTCCTCCTCCTCCCTGTTCCACAAACCTCTGCTGAGACCAAAGCAGGATCAGTATCGTATCCAGCTAGATGCTGCAGCTGGGGAAGGAGGGGAGAGAAAGCTCTGCTTTCTGTATTGATACGAAACTGTATTCTGAGGACTTCCAAAGGCAAGGTGGGCAATGGAAGGAGAGAGTATCCCCAGTATATCCAGCTGGCCTGGGGCATGGCTGTCCCCCAGCTGTTTACCTAGAACAGAAACAGCTAATTGGTGGTACTCAGGTGTGGCAGACTGAATGCCTCCCTAGGAGGGAGGGTTATGTGAACCAGGCAGACTCTGTAATCTGGAGCACTGGGCAGGCAGGTTCATTTCCCTAATGCCTTCCTCATCCTTGTCAGAGAGAACAAGCAACCCAGCCCTCACTTGTGAGCAGTAAGAGCTGGCAAGTGTCCAAAGAGGCCCTGTTCTCCCCCTGGATCAGATATGATCTGTGCTGACTTGCTTACCTGTTGCTGACATAGTGCCCAGGCCTTAAAGCTCAGAGGTTTGTTTTTCTTGAGGGCATAACATCTTTCTGCTGCCTGCAAGAAGAGTTATGGCCCAGCATTGTCTGTGTGGGGGACAAGGCCGCTGTGGCGTGCTTTTGTTGCACCTGTCTAAGGCTAAGATGAAGACTGACATCTCTCACCTCTGCACCCCTGTGGTTCCAAGCAAATGGCATGGTCTGTGGTCCCAAAGCCCTTTTTTACCCAGACAGTACTGTTTCCAAGTCCAGATTTGTACCATAAACTCACTGTGTCTCCTGCTGTTCTGTCAGTGCACTAGCAACTCCTTTAAACTGGCAGGTATCTCAGCCCTAGTTGAAGAGACAACTGGGTTAGCTGAGGCTTAGCTTATTTGCTTCTCACCAGTAGCTTGAGGATTTCAACCAAAGAAGTCACATGGTGAGATTCCTGATCCTCTTAGAGTGTTTTTGTCTCCCAGGCTAACTCAGGCTTCACCTGTTTGGAGGGTTGAACCTGAAATGTTTAGTCTAACAAGTGGCCAGAATAGAGGTCAGAGATACCTTAAAAATCTGTCTGCTTCCTCACACCCTCATCCCATATCATACAGCTCTCAAGTAAAGTAAAGGTCTGTGTGAGAACTGCACCTCCCCAGTTTCGAGGTAGCATTGTTACAGTGTATTCTGGATCATCCCAGACAGTTTATGAGCCCTGGCACCTGTTTGCCTTACCACAGTGATGAAAGAATTGGTCATGTTTTACTTGTGTATCAAAATACATTACACAGTCCAGGCAAGCTCCAGGGCTGTTTCCTGGTGCTTTAGTGTTGTGTGCGATATGCTGAGTCTGCTTGGTCTGGTGCACAGAACAGAGAAACTGGGAAACCAGGATCCCTGAGTTCTGCTCCTGGATTTGCAATGGAGTATGGTGTAGTGTTTGTGGAGACGGACCCAGGGATAGGGCTCCTAGCATCTGTTTCTTGCATAGCCTCTGCACTTAGAGGGTGGTGGGCTGGTTACTGTACTTCCTTTTGTCCATCTGTGTGACTGCAACAGTTTTTAACATGTTGCACTCTTCTGGGAATAAAGGTAAATCAAGCAAGTTACTGATGACCCCATCCTCATCCCATTCTCCTAGGTACTTTTGCTTCCCCCCTCCTTCTCTTGACCATAAAGCCTGTACTACTAGAAGCTGTCCTCTCCAAGGCACATGAGCACACATTTCAATAGCCCTGCCAGCCTGATTATCTGAGTACACACACCTGTGCCTGCCTTAGACTGTTTCTATTTCTGGTTTTACTGTTGCACCCTGAAATCCTGGAATTCATTTCAATATGTAACAACACGCTTATTTTTCTTACATCCAAATTTAAAAACAACCCCAAAGTAGCCTCCCTTCATTAACACAGCACTCTGAGAATACTTCAGTAATGTTCAGCTCTGAAATTTAGTTGCATGTTAACTGGATTTTGCCTTGGTGCAAAATGTGGTATTAAGGGATGAAAGTAATAGTGAACGCAGCATAGTAACGTATGGGCAGGAACACAAAGCAGCTGTAGCCAGACCAGCATACCCTTAGTTGTATGTCTTCATGTTCTCAAGTGTATCACTGATCTACCATTGTCTTTCATTGTGACTCGTGCTTCGGTTCTTTGATGCATGTCCCATATGTAAATGTTTGTGAAGGTGCTTCACAGGTGCTAATTAATCCTCTCAGGTAATTCCTGTGTGGACTGCTGTATGTGTTTCACCATTTTACCAATCATCAAACCGATGTAGAGAGATGTTAAGAGCTGGATCCAAAGCCCATTAAAGTTAATGGGGTGACTGCCAGACTGGGCACTGGGACAAACCGTGCATGATTTGGCAGTGAGCACAACAGTAGTCTGGGAAAAAGTCTCCACACAGAGTGGACTGTTCAAGAAATCCCTTGGCAAAGTGGTCTCTGACCTTTCTGGGAGATGAATGAGAGCGGAGTCCATTAGCTGGCCATCCTGCTGCCTTACCTTTTGTCCTCTGGGTTTTGCATAAGGAAGGTGAACCGTTCCTCTTCTCCCTTTGGAGACAAAAGCAGCAGAATTACCCAAGGTATCTGAAATCCCACACAGGAAATGTCACCCTGGAATTCAGGAGGACAGTGCAGAAAGTCAGTCCAGTCAAATAAAGGGAATGAAAACAAAGCTAATGTTCATAGAAGACATTTAAGAATTGGTGGCTACACTCACCGTTTGTGTCCAGTAGTAACATGTAACAGCACTGAAAAGGGGAAGTGCCAGCTGCCACTGAAACGGGGATTTTGCCAATGACTTCAGCGGGATACCATTTAGCAGATAGGTGAAATAATCTAGAAGCAGCAGAGGGAGAAGTCAGTCCCTAATCCTTCCTCCTATCTTCCCCCACAGAAGATCACTAATAAACTTGAACTCCCCAGTGTCTGGGTGAAACATTAAAATTGGGTCCCAGCACAGTAACTTTCCTTTTGATTTAGGCCATGCTAAACCGAGGAATCGTGGAACTGTTAATGACATCTGACAACAAGCATGGGCTTTCCTCTGGCATCGTGGAAGGAGGTAGGTGGCATTTCTGTGCTTTACGGTGAGAAAGATGGAGATGTTTCTAGTGTGGGGCTCCCACTGATTTTGGTGAGATTGCCCATCTGAGTGAGAAGTACTCTCTAGGATCGTGGACATGTCGTACAGAGCTGGTTTTCTACCCCATCTGGCTTTGATTTCTGATCCAGAGAAAACTGCCTGGAGATCATACAAAATAAGACCTCTCTCCTTAGATTTTTATGTAATGATACAGAGGACCAGGCCCTTCCCCAGTGCAGGTCAACATGGCCTGTTCTAGGTTTCCTCTTTGTGCTGCAGCAGTTTGCAGCCTCGCCTACACAGCGTCACTCTCCCTTTGGTGGAGAGCTCATTTGGAAGGGGTGGGGGTGGAAATTCCCCCTTTGTCCCAGCTCCTTCCTGCAGGAATGTTTACGCCTTGGAGCATTCTTGTTTGGAGTTGCCTTTTCCAGCCGGCTGCACGATGAGAGCTCTTTGATACCAATTTGCCTCTTAGATGTCATAACAATCTGCTCATTAGAGTCAACATGTCAAGTAATCAGATGTGTGGAATAACTAGAGCTCAAAGTGATGCAGCGGCAGTAAGGTGGCTGTGAAAACGCAAAAGAGAAGGTGACAGAAGCCACTGTCAGAATAGGTAGGGGGAGAGGAAAGGAGAGATTCCCGTCATGAGGCCAGAGAGAAAAATCAGGCAACAGTCTTGCAGGTTCCTTTGGTCGCTGGTGGCCTCTTCTGAGATGTGTGGATTCCCTCTAATGCCAGTGATAGCCAGATTGGTTTCCTGCAGAGGAGAATGTCACCATGTGGAACAGCAATTCAGGGTGTCACAGCCAGTCTAGTGGTTGGGTCTGTCCTAGCCCCTCGCTTTGCAGCTGGAGCGGGATCTTGTATGCAGCGGAAGCAACTCGGGGTGTGAGGGAGATGTTTGGGTGCATGCATGTCCTCCATGCCCATGGACACAGCAGCCTCTCCCAGCAGCTGTCCAGGGATGGCACTGCAGCCAGAAGAGCCATCTGCATAGCTTCATCATCCACCTGAATCAGCTAAGGGAGGAGGTGCAAGAACTGCATAGGTTTTTTTAATCCTGAGGCTGGAGCAGCTGCTGGGCAGACTAGGTGGCACGTCCTGGCCAGTCCCTTGTGGACTTGTGTCCTCCTCCCATAGAAACAGCTGTCACAGTTTGGACTCATTGGCAACTGTTGTTGGCAGTCCTGATGGCTCACCTAATGACTGAGCTGGCCACAACCTCCAGACTTCAGATCCTTCCCCACCAGGAGTGAGGCATGCCCGTGGGGCCACTGTGTGTGTGTATGTGGGGAGATTGCTGGACAGTGCCTGAGCTGGGGATGAGTCAGGGCTTTGGGCTTAATTTTTATTGTCATTTCTTGACTTGTACTGAGCCTAGGATTGGGCACCTCACCCACCACGTTGTCATTTGCATCATGTTCCCATGTTGTTTGGCTCTTCTGCCTTGCTCGCCTGCGCTGCATTCTTGGGGTTTGCACACTAGTTAGAGAAGTCGGCTAAAATCAGGGGAGGGTGGTGAGATGGCAGCTCCTCTCCTGTAAATATTCTGTTTGAAGCATTGTGCTCGACAGAACCAGGGCTGGAGCTGATGCCAACAGTCTCGTACATTTTTGAAGGATAATAAGATTCTGGTTTAAAAATTCACATGCGGCTTCTCCTAAAATTTCAAAGCTCTGCCACTGCAGCATCTGCACAATGACAGAAAGATGGGAGAAGGGAAGAAGCACTCCTGCAACACCCAAAGGGCTGTGGTGTTAATAGCGAGTTATAGGACAGCAGTGTGTAATGATCCAGAGACAGGTCCTCACCCAAGTCCTGAACCAGACGGCACTTTTGCCCAAGCGTCCACAGTGCACGGATCAGCTGCTGAGTTTTTTCCACTACTGTCACAGATGAGGCTGGTCTGACTGTCTGGTGAGGCAGATTTTAATTGGGAGACTCAGCCTGCTCTTGCTCACCCACCCCAACAGGCATGACAAGCTGTTAGCCGCTGCCGGGGACAGAGAATCCTGCAGCTGAAGCCTAGGAGTTCAGTGCAACACCCAGACTCAACTTCAATAATACCTTTCTTTCTGTGGTACCTTTCACCTGAAGATCTCAAGGTGCTTAACAAATGCTAATGAAGTCTTGTGATACCATATGCGGTGGGCTGCTGCCCTTGCATTTCTTGTATCTCTGGACATTTTAAACTGGAGGCAGGACTCGGCTGGGAGCTTTCTAAGGGGCACCTGGGTGATACAGGAAGTTCTCGTGGTGTTTCTGTAGGTGGCAAAGCTCCTGCTGCATTTCTGCTAGCCTGATGCCTTGTTGTGATATATGGGGAGGGAGGGTTGTACTGGGTGAAAGGATTCATCATCTGCCTTACTTAGCTAATGCATGGCTGTCTCCTTTCTCAACAGCTCTGGCCACTGTTAACTTCCAGAAACTTGAGCGGGACCTCCTGACCTCCTTGGACACAATACAGGTAAGATGCCTAACACCTGTCTTACCTGTTCTTGTTATTACCGCCAGTGCCTCACCCTGTTTTCGTTATTATAGCTGTGGTATCCAAGCACTGTTACTTCTGCTTTTGTGACTCATGTCCCAGGCTTGCTCGCGCACCCCCAAGCCAAATCTCATTGGAATCAGTGAAAAGCCTCCCATAGATTTCAGCAAAGGTTGAAGGAGTGCTTAATAGTGCTGCACCCCAATCCCTACTTTTCACTGTGTGTGAGGAGCTTGGCTAGTGTTTGCAGTCTGGGTCTCCCTTCAGGAAAGCAGGCAGTAGCAAATGTCCCACTAGAGCTGAAGTGTTCAATTTTTACAGCCAAGGCCTTCATCTGGTAGAACGTACAGATGGGTTAAAAAAACTGCAAATCAGGATCTGGATGTTGAATGCCCTGGACTGGGGGTCTTTGGATCTGTGGGTTCTGGTTTAGGGTTCCGTACTCTGGGTAAAATGCTGGACAGTGCCTGAGCTAGGGATGAGTCGGGGCTTGGGGCTTATTTTTTGGTCAAAGGATCATCATAAAATCAAGGATATGTACAGATGAGAACCTCTAAGGTCTAAGAGCTTAGTTTCAGTCCAACAGAAATGTGATGTCCCTCATGACAGAAAGCCCAGACTCTTCAAGAGCACAGCTGTAGCCCTTGCTCTCTGAGGGAAGACAGCTAACCTTTAGGTTTGTAGGAAAATGGAAAATTTGGCTTGTGCTTTATAGCATTATGAGCTGTTTTAAAATGCAGCTCCAGATCTCTTTCTTTGATTTTGAGGTGACTGAACAGGGGACATAGTTATCTCTCAAGGAAGTGGCCAGCAGGACTGACTACTAGAAGAGAAGGATTCTGAAGCATTTGGTAGATTTCCTTTGTCACCGGGTCACCAGTACTGGGCAATTAAATCCTTCTCCTTGCCCGAGTTGAATTTGTAGTATGAAGTCTGCGTTTGTCTCTCCTTTTTAGTGCTTAACAGATTTGAACGTCTAGTAATTATTTTTCTAATATCGAGCAATTGATTAAACAATTAAAAGGAACAGGTTTGGACAGGAGACAGCAGGACTCTGCAGCAGCTTTCCTGGCAAGTGTGCCTTTCTCAGCGGTAGCCTGCTGATTTCAGTGAAGGTTGAAGGAAATGGGGTTTTTTTCATCCCATTTCTGGGTCCTGGGGCAACATGGGGTGTCTCCTGGTTACGTATGGAGGTCTGGCTCCCTGGGAAGAGGCCAGAATAATTTTCAAGGGGCAGCAAAGAGTTTGACTTCACTGCTTTTAAGGCTCTGTCACTCCCATGCTTTTCAGCCCTGGTGTAGGCCTGCAGTTGGCCTCCTCTCTTATGGGACAAGAGCTGTAGGCAGAAGTAGCCTGGTGCTTGTGGATGTCCTTTAAAGAGGATCTACAGATCTGTCTGACCCTCGGGAGCCTGGGCATTGTTGTGTTCTTGGCTTTTAATACCTTTTTTGCCATCCTGTAAAAGTTAATAATTGTAGCTGGTTATCTTGGAAAGCCAGAAAAATCTTATGCCCACATGAATGCCCATGAAATGGGGTGGTGGTGGGAAGGTGCTTTGGACTTGCTCTAAATATCGGCGGGATTAAGGGGAATTTACAGTTAAATCCCCTGCATATTGATTCCTCTCTTTGTAGAGTGTTTCTCAAAAGCAGGTGAGGTTGGGCAGCACAGCTAAGGTGCCATCTGTTTGTCAAGGCTCCTGGTTCAGGCAAAGTCACTGCACTGCTGAGATCAAGGTCGAAGCAAAGGTCATGTGCAAGTGGCATGGCCAGGCCTGGACTGCGCAGCTGCTGAGCACGCAGTGTGGGTCCTGCCCTGCAGACAGTGCGCCGTTGCAGCTCCTGCACGTGGCTGCTGCACCACAAGGGAGGCCTTCACCACCTCGAGGACAACACTTAGCCCTGCAGTTCGGAGCAGCCTTTGTGGGCAGTTTGGGTGCACGGTGCTGTGCTCGAGGGCTCCACTAGGCCCTTTGGCCCAGGTCTCTCAAGATCCCGAGTGCTGGTTTGAGGATCACACCCCTAATTTAACCAGTTTCATTTGAAACTTGGGCTCCCCATAGTGGATGCCTTCAAACGGCATTTGAAAGGGGCCGGGCTTGTAGCCTGGATGCAGCTGGGCCTTTGAACTAGGTGGGCCCTGCAAGAAGTGCAGCTGCCTGCTGTTGTCTCTCCTACCTGGGGTTTGCCAGCTTGCCACCTCTTCCCCTCCAATCCCAGCTGCCCCCCACTTCTTTGTCGGGAAAGCTGCCCTTTCCTTCTGCTCCAAGTCCAAGCACCACCTCACTCTGCAAAGGCACCTGAGCCCTGACCTGCAGCACTTGCATCTCTGCTCCAACCCCAGGCCCCCTGGGCAGGTACTGCACCAGCATACAGGTGCATCGTGCTTGTGGGCTGCATTAGGATTACCCCAAGCCAAATCTGAGTTTAGCCTCTCTGAGGATTATACCTACTGTGTGCTCACCTGTGATCTGTTTGTGATTGCTAGAGAGGGGAGATAGACAACATGCATTTATGGGATTGTGTCATGAGATTCATTCCCTCTTTGTTAGAAATGATTCGGGACTGGGGCAGCCTTGCCTTTCTGATGCTGGACTGATTGGTTCAAAAGCTGGCTTGAGAGTCCTGCTGAAAAATGGATCAGGGTAAAGCTTCACCTTGGGATAGCATGAGTGCAAATGCACCTCCGCAGTGGTTTCATGACAGTGTCTCCTGTGTCCTGCTGTCCCAGGGCACCCTGCTCCATCACCCGCACAACCCAGCCTGCAAAGCATCTAATGGCACAGTGTTCGCTGCAGAGGAGCGCACTGACCCCCTGCATCACCCAAGCACCCCAGACTCATCCCTCGGAAAACACGTGGGGTGGGAGATGCCATGGCTGCAGAACGCGAGCGGGTTCAGATTTCTGAACAAGAACAGGCTCTTCCAGTTCCCTGCTCTTGCTCTTCCCTCCTCTTCCTCCCTGTCTGATCACTGCTTTTGCCCACTTCAAACACGAGTCTGGGGAGGTTTGCAAACCAAGTCCCATAGGGTCTTTTGAGCTCTTAACTGTCAGATCCACGTATTGCTGACAAACAGGCTTGAGAGGCTCTGCTGTGACTGCTTGTACCAGACTGAGCTGGTGTCCCACAGATCCTGGGAGCTCTGCAAAGAAGTGAGAAATAGCATCTTTCCACCAGCCTGACAGCCAGAGCTGACTGCGTGGTGCAACTCAGCCCTTCCTCCATGACACTAATTAATTACAGGGGACAGGGGCTGATGTTGCATATTCTGATGGAGTCTGAGCTACAAGTCAGTTGTCCCTATTGCAGGCTAAGGTTCCATAGAGTGATTAAACTCTCTCATTGGCGGGCTTACTGGAGATGGATTGATACTGTAGATTATCCAAAGCTGGTCTGAATTGACTGCAGGCGTCTCTAATGTTCTAACTGCTGCAATATTCTCCTAATGGAATATGGTTTTCTTTAGTCACTTCCCTTCTCCGTTTCATATGGCAGCAGATAAAGCCCCGATCAAACACCAAGTGAAATTGCCTTGACTAGGAACAAACGCCCTGAACGGGCAGTGCCAGCAAGTCGGCTCCCACGCTGCTCCGTCTGGCGTGACAGGGCCGAGTGGAATTCCACGGGAGGTAAAGGAGCTGGCAGGCACTGACAAATGGAAGCAGTTGCTCTGTGTGCAGAGCCTTTTTAATGAAGACCTAATTCCTGCAAAAGCTAATGCGTTCCTGCCAACACCATATGCAGCATTAAAAAGGCATTAAGCCGTTAAGGTCTGCTGTTCCCACCTTGGCAAGCATGGGCTGCAGCACACCTGCAAACTCTTAAATGGCAGTGGTGTGGCTGATAAGTAGACGTTTATAAATGTGGATTTCTAGCAGAAACTAAACCGGGACAATAGGTTTGCTTCAGCTCTTCAAAGCCATGGGATGTGGACCTGTTTGGTGTCACCTGGTTGTTCTCGTGGCTTGGTGTGTTCCTCTTGGGCTGCATGATTACACAAGGCTTTGCCTATCTTCTCCAGACACTGCTGCATGCAGGCACCCTGTGCCCTGCTTCTCTAGGGCTCTGTGGTTAATTGGCTCCGTGGGCTTGGCCGGTAACCCTCTGGTAAGCCTTGCCCCCAGACAGCACTTGGGCAATGTCTCTGGGATGCAGGGATAAGTGCAGCATTGTCCTGTCTCCATTTAATTCTGTCTTTTGTTTTTATAACAGAAAAATAAGCCAAAGATGGTGATGGAGTTTTGGACTGGCTGGTTTGATAGCTGGGGAGGCCCTCATAATATCTTTGATGCAGATGGTGAGCACCATATATTATTACTTGTTTAGGGTTTACTGCTGTATAAACAGCCATCAGCAGAATGGCCCAGTTACTCTTTCCAAGTTTCCTGTCCAGCAGCGAGTGTGGCTGTGTACAGTTTTTCCAGTCTTTTTAATGGATGTGCCACACTGCTGTGACTTGGCATTTTTATCCTTGTCGAAGATTTTTAAGCAGGTCATTTTACAAATAGCTGTCCTGTTTCTATTCCTCTAGGAGGCATTGTACCCAGAGGCTGGTGTAGAGAGTCAAAGTCAACTTCTGAAGTTGCTGAAGGGCCTTGGTTGGATCAGGGCCCTATGGCTAGACTCTGTATGGACTTGGAAGAAAAACTTTACACGTGCCCTAAATGGCCTAAGCTCTAGAGGCCCAAAGAGCCAAAGCTTTGGGGAGTGTGGATACAATATTTTGGCTGTTGAAAACTGTTATGAATTGGCACCACATTCATAGATTCATAGATGTTAGGATCGGAAGGGACCTAAGGATGTCATCGAATCCAACCCCCTGGCCTGGGCAGGAAAGAGCACTAGGGTCAGACGATGTGTTGATCGTCTGACCCCAGCACTCAATATGTTAGCATCACGTTATTTTAAATACATTAATTGTAAAGGGGTTTCATGTCATTGGAGTTAAAGATAGGAAGATGAGAAGAACAGTCACAGACAGAGGCTTAGACTGGACTCCTGGGTTCTACATTCACTTTTCTCATGAGGCAAAGCAGTAGAAGCCCCTTAATCTTTTTTCCCCATCTATAATATGAGTTCAGTAACACTGAGACGGGGAGTCATGCACTTAGTGCTGGTCAGGCCTGATGGTGCTTGCTGAAATAGAAGGCCACGGGAGCTGACCTAGGAGCATTTTGAGAGCCAAGTGCTGTTCAGACACTGGACTAGCAAAAACAGGCATCTGCAGAGAATTCTGCCCGTGCTGTTAGGGCAGAAGTTACAGGAAACTTAACACAACAGTTTACTTCAGAATGAATGGGGGTCACATGGCCTCATTCTGAGCATATGGGTGCTTAAGTTTCTCCCATTACCAAAGGAGCCAAGCACCTCACTGTTAACACATTCCTCCACTAGCCGGGTAAGGTAGACAAGTGTGATGTCCATTTTACAGATGTGGACTTGGTGACTGATCTGGGTGTTGCAAGGAGTTTGGCAGAGCCTAGAATAAAATCCATAGTTCCTGACTCCCAGACTAATGCCTTAAACTACTTCCACCTTGTCTTGTGCAAAGCTGGCCTTTCCAAGGGCCCCTCTCCATGGCTGTAAAGTGATTGTAAAAAGTGATGTGAATGTGTTTGTTAGTTGCCATTGTAACATGTGTATAGTAAGCAAAATGTCCTCCTTCAGAATGGGTGATCTTGCCTTTTGTGGGTGGTGCAGTGGACATAAAACTCAAGTAGACTTAATGTTCCTGAAAAGATCACGCTCCATCATAGTTCTTACGCTTATTAGCAAGATACAGAAGCATTGGAAGGAATCTACAGAAGACTCTTGAATTTCCTACATCGTGCTCAGATTCCTTGAAGTAACAGTGTCTTGGCACTTGTCTCATTCCCATTCAGTAGTTTTTGTGGCTGTCATCAGTACATTGCATCGAGGGGCCCAATCCTGCAGTCCTTGCTGAAGCAGAACTTCCACTGAAGTCAATGAAAGTGTTGCCTGAGTTGGGAATGCAGGATGTGCCCTAAGATGGGGCACGTGTGCGTGTAAGTGAATTATTCCTGCAGAGCATCTCAATGGAGGACTCAGATTTAGCTCGTGAAGCCTGTTTTGAGGGGGATGGAGGGGTGAAAAGCTCTTTGAAGTGCTGGGACTATTGGCATTTTGGTGTGTTGCATTACACTCTCTGCCTAGGCTGTGACCCTTGTTGCAACTGTCCTTTCTTTGCAGAGATGGTGATTACTATAGGAAACATCCTCAAAACGGGAGCATCTATCAACCTGTACATGTTCCATGGGGGCACCAACTTCGGCTTCATGAATGGTGCAGTGCATTTTGAGGAGTACAAGCCTGACATCACCAGCTATGGTGAGTTCCCATTTCCTGTCCCACGGGCACACCGCTTGGAGAGGCTGGAGCACAGAGGAATGGACCGAAAGGCACTATGCCCATCCATTTCTCTGAGGACTTTGCAGTCTCCGCAGCAGACCTTGGCTACAGCTCCCTCATCTGAACTTGAAAGAGAAAAGAGCCTGCTTTCAGGCTCCTTTCCCACTCCAGATTTCCAGTCCAGTTCCAGTATTTAGAAATCCTTTTACTGTTTGCATTGGATGGGAATGTCCTCTGTCAAAGCCATTATCCTTGGTCTTATTTTACTTCTCTCATCAGAATCCCATTACTTTCAAGCTGCCATCTCTTCAGTCAAGGGGGATGCTTGGGCACTTTCTGCGTTGAGGAGCTTCCTGGTAGTTTGGCTCTATGGAAGCCAGTGTCCATAACATAGACAGGGCCTGAGCCTCACAAAGGTCAAGACCTTATGCTGCATGTGGCATGGCCTGTGCACACAAGTGGCTCCCCAAAGCTGCTACTGCTGTATGATGGGTGTGCTCTTGCTTTGCAGACTACGATGCAGTGCTCGCAGAGGCTGGAGACTACACATCTAAGTACTTCAAGCTCCGTCAACTCTTCAGCACCATCACAGGTAATTGTAAACCACAGAGTTGCACCTCTGCCCCTGCGTGTAACAGCTTTTCTGTGTTGAGAAATGTGTTACATCAGCAAATGTAGTGCACATCTGGAGGGATGCTGCATGTTGCACAGACCCTGTTTGTATGGTGTTTTTTCTGGAGCCAGGGGGGTGGCTTCTGATAGGTAAACAAATTTGCCACCCCCAGGCCAGCCCCCAACTTTGCACTGACTCTCTGAGGCAGATCCATTCTGTTTGATCCCATGGGGAGACTGATCAAAGCTGTTTCCAGAGATGGAATCAAGGAGGCCACAAATCGAATTTTGTTATTGGCAGTAACTTCCTGGCAGAATTATGGTAACACTCGCCTTGGTCTTGTTTCTTCCTAGGGCAGCCTCTGCCCCTCCCTCCACTGGTTGCAAACAAGGCATCCTATGGCACAGTCATGCTGCATCAGTGTATCTCTCTGTGGGAGGCACTGCCATCTATCCCAGAGGTAGGTGCTACACTTGGAGCCCAAGAACATGCATGAAACATGCTGCATGTGTAATAATCTCCTTCAGAAGGATCCTAAGGCATTTCCTAGAAGCACTGAAAAGCAGACATCTCTTGGCTGGCTTCATCCACTCCTGCAGTGTACCAGCACACTGCATAAGAGTCGGGGGAGGAGACGCTTTGGTCTAGAAAGTAATTTTAGGATGCTAAAATATAAAGTGCTACATCACACTTGATGGGTTTGTTGAAGCTCATTAAAAGAGGGTGCTCACTACAGTCAGGGCAGTTGATTTGTTTCTCCTCATACTGGAAAAAATGGGTTCCGGCTGCTGGAGTTGCTGTAATGAGGTTGCGCTGTATTCTGCAAGAATAGAACAAGAACAGGTTTAGACTGCAGCCTGGACAATTCCTTAGAGCCTTAGGCCAAGGGAAGTTGTGGAGCAGCCATCGCTGAAGGTGTATCTCAGGTGAAGACTTAGACATTCATCCAGTAGGAACAGTATCTGGAACTTAGCGGAGGTTCTTTCCACCTCTGTTTTATTCGAGTCTGTCAGGATGCTGCTGTACCCTTAGGTCTGTGTGGGTCAGACTGGGCAGAAAGGACTCCAGTCCATGTCCCAGTAATTTAGCTGAGTCATTTTACAGAGTTAATGTTGGTTTGAGGGACATTGGAGCCACTTGTCTGGATGAGACTGCCATATGTGGCCTGTTCTGTTGGAATGGATCCCCCTGCCTTGTCACCAGTTGCTCCTCCTTTGCAGCCTGTTAAATCAGAGTTCCCGGTCAACATGGAGAACCTGCAAGTGAATGATGGTAATGGGCAGTCCTATGGGTACGTGCTCTACGAGACTGTCATCTCTGGCGGAGGGCAGCTGAACTCGGGGGACCACATCCGGGACCGAGCCCAGGTGAAAAGCGCTTAGCCCAAAAGGACAAATGTTTTGGCTTGAGTAGCTGGGTGCGAATGGGTGGGACCTCACACCAGGGTGGCCAGCAATTCCTTTGCGCTATTTGTGCCAAGATCCAGCCCCTCTCCTCTGTAAAACTCCAGCTCAGGGTTGCAGTCTGATGTTAAAAGTTGGTAGAGTCCATCTCAGACATGTCCCATGTGATCCCCTCTGCTGCAGAAGGGAACAGCAGGGAATGACTCTGCTTTTTAGAACTGCATTGATTTTTCCCAACATCAGACTGAGTTGAGGTGCAGAGCTGGAACTGTGACTTGGACACTGCAACCAGACAGCACTCCTTCCTCGGTTATGTTTAATTCCCTATCTAACGCAACTGCATTCTCCTTGTTTTTCTCTCTCCTGCAGGTGTTTGTTAACACTTTGTTTATTGGGTATCTTGATTACAACACAGTGGAGCTGACCATCCCTGAAGGACAGGTAACTGGTCTAAGAGCACTCAGAAAGGATGCAGGAGGATAACAGAATCACAGTTCCTACCTAGCAGTCTCTAAAGTGACCTAGATCCATAGAGCAGGTCTGCTGCCAGCTCCACTCAAACTAGTGATGCAGCATCTCTGATGCAAAGAGCAGCCACGTATGAAACCAAGTGACTTCCCGGTCGGAACAGAAAGGCTTTCCGGTGCCAAGCTGTTCTTCAGAGATGGAGTTGGTTTTCAAACCATCCAGTCTGGCACATTCCCCTGCAGGTCCAGTTCTGAGCAGAAGCACTGAGCTTAACCCCTTCCAGCCACACCCACAAGCTGCAAACATCCATGAAGCCCTCGCCTGGGCTGACAGAGCACAGAGGCTGCAGACTTTTAGGACATAAGCTGTGCCTTAGTCTCTTTATTGCTTTTAGGTCACAATGCACTCCAGCTCTGCATGTGCACTTGGGCCAAGCAGTTTGGTGGTGTGGGCAGGTCAGCAGCCTGGATAGGCTGTCCACTGCATTGGCAGAACTGTCATGGCTTCAAGGGTGAGGGTGTGTGGTGGTGACACTGCGGGTCCCTTGTGACCTGCAGTGGAGCCGTCTGGAGGGGAGCCTATAGACAGGCCTGGCTTTCCACACTATTTCACTTTTGCAAGGATTAAAATATAGCAGCAAAATATTAAGGTTTCATGAGCAGGCCACACTTTCCCAGCAGGCAGTCCCTTGCAGTGTTGGTTTCTGGCAATGTGGCATCATCAAATTCCAGCAACTCCTCTAAGCAGTTAGGCCTTGTACTGCCAGAACTGCTGATCTAGACTTCCCCAGAGTAACTCCACCGACTTCCCTCTTTGCGCATGGCAATGACATGGCAGTGGCTGTGACATACCCTGCTGAGTTCCTCCCTTCTTTCCAGGGGTTCAGGCAGCTCAGGATCCTGGTAGAGAATTGCGGACGTGTCAATTATGGACCTTTGCTGAACGAGCAGCGGAAAGGTAGGTTATCTCCTTCCTCCCAAGCTTGCGCGTGGGGTTATCTGCCCCAAAGGCATTGAACTCGGATGTCAGCAAGGACTTCAAACCATCCAATTTCAATATCTTTTTTTTGTTTGTTTGTTTAAATTGCTCCCCTCCCTCCCTCCTCCCACCAGAAATCAATGCCTCAGATCAGATGCTGAAATCTTGTGTGGTGACCTAAGCTGCACTCAGATGCATGGGGTACAGTGAACCTGGCTGATGCAGTCTACAGCTTCACTGTCAGGCAATAAAACACAGCCAGTGTGGGTCAGAGAACTGGTAAAAGGACACAGTCTTCACTGTCTGGTCATAGGTTCAAATCTAGCCCAGGCTCATGGTAGCTAAAAAGTGATGCCTGTGCATTGAGCATTAGGAAAAGATTCTGCTTCACACGGGAGAGTCTTGTCCAGACCATCACAAATCCCCCCACACCTGTAGCTGCCAATGGCTCCCTTCTCGCTCCATGATGCATGATGCCATGTGGTGGGCAAGGAACCTTTTCCGGTGCCTGTTTTATGTTCTGAAACTTGTCACCTGGCAATTATGATAATCTCGGTTTGCCAAGAGTCAAGGGATTGAGTTACATCCGGCTCCTTGAAATGAAGCAAAATATTTACACGTGCTCTGTTGGGTGGAGCTGGGGAGTGGGAGTGTGTCAAAGCTGAAGTTTTAAGTGTGTTGAGTAGCTTAGTGGAGTAGGATACCCATTTCATTGGTTTTAGTGGGGGAGAGGTGTGTAATCCCCTGCACTTCTTGACTGTCTCAACTGTAATCATGAAGGTGTAACTGTCCGGGGTGGGGAGGCTTCATGGACAGTTCTTTCTTAGGTCTGCACCAGCTGCCTGTGTGAAGCACCATCTTCTGTGCCTTTTCTCTGCATGTGAGCCTCCTCCATTTGCAATGTGGGGAAAATTCCACCCACCTAACAGGAGGCTAGCGAGGCAAAATTAACTTTATGAAGTGCTTTGAGATCCTTGGATGAAAAACACTAGTCTAGTATAAGTCATTTGCTTCCCAGTGTTGCATTTTCCTCTGTGTACCACCACAAGTGATGGATTTGCTACTTTAAAAAAAATCAATCTGGTCCATGTGCAGCAATGTGTTCTGCTGGGAGGGTGTTTAACAGCTTAGTGAATTAGAGCAAAGGCTGGAATGGAGAGGCCAGAGTGTGACAGCAATCCACGCTCGGTCTGGATGAGCAATGGGACCAGATGGACTCTTAATTCCATTGCAGCGTGGCTGCTTTCCATAGCCTGCTGTTTCCTTGTGTCGGTATTGGAAGATCCATCAGCTTTAGCTGCTTTTTGACTCTTCATTACTCCCATTGCTCTTGCAGGCTTAATTGGTGACGTCTTCCTGGATAAAACCCCCTTGAGGAACTTCAAGATTTACAGTCTGGAGATGAAGCCCAGCTTCATAGAAAGGTCTGTGCGAGGTTTTTTTTTTTTTTTTTCTTCTTTTAATTCTCTTTCTCATCTGCAGCCAATGACTTGGCAGAGGTGCAAAATCTAGTTAGTGGATAGATGTGTCAGAAAGGCAGCACCTAGTAAATCTTCACACTGACAAATTCCCTCCTGTTATCTCCATCCAAAACTGTGCAAAAGGTTGTAACGCTTTTTTTATCTGTGCCATTATTTAGGGCCTAATCTTGCTTCCATTGAAATGGATGAAAAGACTCTCACTGGGCACGTCTACACGTCGCCATATGGCAATGTTGCTACGGTGCTGTGCTTTAGTACTTCCTTTCAGAAGTACTAAAGCGCAGCACCATACGGGTGCTTACTGCACCATGTGGGTGGTGCATGCTTAGATTTGCCCGCTACATCGCCGTAGTAGTGCACTGTAATTAGAGAGCGCACCAGTACGGCAACGTAGGCAATCGCATGTAGACCTGCGTGATCACTACATCGCCATAGTGCACTGTACGGTGAGGTAGCATGTTGCTACATTGCCATACTGTGACATGTAAACGCGCCCACTGACTTGTAACAGCAGCTGGATCAGATGGGCCATGTGTGAACCTTTCCAGGACCCTGGTTCTAAACCATCCTGAGCTTTATCCCAATCAGATATGGGGGGGGCACTAATTTCAACCCTAACCATTCTATTTGCCATGAGCAGAGTAGTTTCCAAAGTTCATCTCTATATTTAACCAGCTTGGAGAGCTCCCCCTCCTCCTTATGTTTATACTTTTTCCATATTTCTTAAATCTGAAAGCAGAATAATCTTGCAGAAGTAACTGGCCAAGCTCCTACCATTGAGGAACAGACACTTAATCGGCTGTTAAGCCATTAGAGCTCCTCGTGGCCTCCTGCTGCAATCTTGGGAGGCCCCTTTTTTCCTTAGGAAACTAATCACAAAGTAAAGTAACAAGTTGGGCCATCTTGGACCTTGCAGCTGTCACTCTCCTGCCTGGTGTGGCCACTGGGGACTGACCAGGGATGGAAGATGCAGAGCTTGAAAGCTGTAAGGCCCTACCATGTGAGCCAGCAAAGAGAATTCCCATTCACTAAACCCTGCATGGCTCATGACCCAATTCTGTTGTTACACTACTCAGTAGATAGCGGTGGTGGATGTACATACACACACATGCGCATGCTTCACACACCACTTGCAGCCTTTTTTTTTTTTTTTTTTA